CTGTCGTTAATGTGCAGCCTTCTTGCAATCTCCGCAGCGGAACATCCTTCGTCCAGGAGATGTGCGATGGTGACGCGATGAGGAGACGGTCGCATTCCTCCGAGTACTTCTACCGATTTGGCTATAGTGCATGACCGACATGCTTTATCCAGGGCATATATTGCACAGCTGAAAACGTGTGATTTGGCGGACCATACTTGGTAGCCAACCTGTAGTTCTCTGTGCCATGGGATTGCGCTTATTTTTACAGCAAATTTGAGAAGTGAACTTTAAAGAAGAGAGAGAAGAGCGGGCAGCTTTGTACTACAGTACGGCCACTGTTCCTAGTCAGCATTCTCTGTCGTTTGCTTTATTTGTATAAATGGGAATTTTTACGTCCTCTGCTGATCACTGCTTAGGTAGTTCTTCGCGGATATCGGTTTGTTAGGGGATAAGTTTTTACGAGAATTAAGTGGAGTGTAGCGCACATCATAGTCTCCTAAGAGTGCTCTGCTCAAGGGGGTCCTCCAACTAGAAAACCACAATTTCTGACATTTATCAAAATCAATCTCACATTTTGATAAGTGAAAAGCCTTCATTCAATAAAGGAGAGGATCGCCTAGATCGGCGCTATCTGGCCCTGGCTACGGGCGGATGTATTGTTTTCTGATTTGTTCATCGAATTCAGAAATGTTATTGAAATTATTGACTTCGCTGAAGGTTTTGCGAATAATGGCTTTCTTAAATAAGTCGCCTGCTGCTCATTAAGAGTGGTAAAGCTGGCTAGTTCGTCGTCATGACACAGTCTACTACCATGATGTCGCCCCACAAAGTCCGGTAAGGCAGAAACATCACCACAAGAACCGAGCCTCATTTAAGATTGGGACGGAGTACTCCACATTTGTGTCGCCTAGTCTTCACTTTTGTTACCTGTATTGGGAGTTTTCGGGCAGATGCTTTCGTTTTCGTGGAGGTCGTACTTGGAAGTGCGCCGCGGTGAGATTCCCGAGAATCGCGCATTTTTTTGGTGGATAAGCTTCCCGAATAGGTTTTAACATTTCTCATGAATGTCGCGCCATGGAGAGCCGATACATTATATTGTGAAATAAATTGATCGTTGGATTTCAGAATGGGTCCCCTAAATTAAATTGTGAGCATTGTACTGATTAAAGTTTGCAAATGTTATTCAGATATTCTATGAATACTTGTTACTTTTTTTGCAAGGCATTCGTTGATGTGCAAGAGATTCGAGGTAGTGGATGTGTTTGCCGTTTTCGATTTCCGAGGAGGGCGTCTATACATAAAAAAGTTGAGCGAATGAATTTATAATGGGCACAGGGATGTGCCGGTAATTAGACCCATCATTTACTTCTTTGTAATCCTTCATAAGCATTTTTTGTCACTTGCTTCACCAATACATTTGAAATATGGTCATGGCACCAATTCGGTCTGTAGCTTATTCTCCGCGGGTTGCGGTCTGTCAAGCGGAGCATTTTGAAGAACCACGTGGAAGACAACACGCAACAGTTTTTCGGAATGCGCTACTAAAGCCTGACAGATGAAGCTTGAAGTTGATGTGAAGTAATCCCACCTTGTTGCTATTGGCCTTTTAGTTTAATTGAAATCTGCAGTTTATTGGAATCAGGCTCTCATGCTGACAGAGAGCAGATGTGTTGAGCAGATACTACTACTAGTTTCCGGTGTAACTGCTTTTTCGTGTTCATGCGAGAGAGAAAGCTGACAGAGGCAGAACCGAGCTTCCTGAGAATGCTTTGCTATAGCTCGGTAGGTGAAACTCGGTTTGCAAAGCAAAGGGTACCTTCATTTGTTGTCATTAACTTTTTGGAATACTTCAGTATGACAAGGAACTACAGTTGTGCATGTTTATTAGAACCAATCTCACATTCTGACAGAAAAATGAGTTAGATGCAGTGTTCTTAACTTCTTCGTAAAGCCTGCAGATCGATCACATCAACTCGACTTCGTTTTCCTGGAATAATTTGTTGTTGGTTAACAATTTAAAAGAAACCAGTCACTTTTTTGAAAAGGATGATCATAATGACCGTTTTGTGAGCCATAGGCACGTTGATTGCTATACCTGCGCCTAGCGTCACTATCACTGTCGATCGTCACAACCAAAATCTCTATGAACTTCGTAGTTACCGTTATGAGTGAAATGAGCAGAGGCAGAAGTAATATACCGATTTCAGCCATAGTTAGAAATGTGGCTTATGGATCGCTTCTACTACCAGGATCCCATTCCATAATCCGCCTTCGGAAGGGACCCCTGTTCCCCTTCTACCGTCAAAAATTTTTAGGTGAATTAGTTCCGACTTGGGCACTTCAAGTAGCACTAGCCATCTTTCCACAATCTGAAATATCCATTTATTTCACTTTGTTTTTCTACACTTACGGGCAATCCTTTGGCTTAACGCAACCGTCCTGTATGTTGTCGGAAAGTTGAACGTAACCGTAATTGCACTGGCATCTGGGAGTACCACAGCGTAGGAAATAGCAAGGAGGCATCTGAATGTTTACTTCCTCGAATCAGAATAAAAAGTGCGGGAGGTAGTAGAACTTACAGCAATGAAGTTACTACAAGTCTTTGGTCCGCAAAAATTGCTACATCCTTGGAATGCGGAGTTCTTCGGACATGGTTCTGTAAAGTGTCACTGACCGTGGAAAATAGATTGAATACGAAAAATGACATTATTGACAAAAACTTGGTGAAAACAAATGGAACTGAAGAGTGAACTGCCCTTTTCTGTAAAGATCTGAACTGCCCAGCTCCTTCTCACAACGAAAACCGCAATTAAAGGTTCGTTAGAATTGCTGGGCCGACCATGCCCATACTTTATGAGTTGGCCCTCAGGATTAAAAATTTCTCTAAAGTTTGAGTAATTCTACAATTTTTCTTGGAGGATTTTTGGAAAGCATGCAGACAGGAGACAGAAGATGCACGAAGCGGCTTGGAGCTTTGGAGTAAAAGCGTCACAGTATGTGAGATCACAAGGTTGTTAAGGTTGGTGTTGATGGCAATCTTCTCTTCTTTCTAGCGTTAATCCCGCAACGTCGCAGGTCCGCTGTTCTTGTCAACTGTCTCCATTTCCTTCTACATATCTGTGGCATCTTCTGCCGTTACTTTTTCGAAGTCCCCCTTGATTACGTCTCGCCACCTCTTCAGAACCCTTGTGGTCGTTTACGTAGAGCCTCGAATCTTTAACGAATGTTTCTGTGCCCTTTTCAGTACATGTCCGTACCTTCGCAGAGGCTGCTCTCTTATATTCACTGGTCAGGGCTACTTGCTTGACCACTCTAACGTCTTCGTTCTTGATCCGGTCCAGTCGCGTCCAACTGCAGGTCCGTCTGGACATCATCCTTAGGCAGCCTCTCATTCTTTCCATCATATTAGGCCTCACCACTGCCCTGTGCATCTTTTATTTGAGCTTTCTGAACGCCGTCGATCGCAATGAATACCGGTGACTCCCTTCATTTCATACATGCAACGTTTGTTCAAGCTTTTACAGTCTGGTCCACCCTACCATCAGCAACTGTATCACTCCTCTAGTACCGGAACCCTTTCGATGCATTCTTTGTGGCAGTCTTCAGTTGGACACTCCTTGGAGCGGAAAAAAACTCGGCTTTTCCACATAAACCGAAGCATTCACTGCCTGCATTCCTCTTTGTACATCGCTGTGAGTTCGATGTCACCAGCGTAGAGAATGGTATTTAGTAGTCCATGCATGAGATGTTTTGTGATGACGTTCATTGTCGGCAGGAAGTGTAACGGGCTCAACGTTGATCCCTGATGTTTCCGAACCGTGATGTCTATGGCTCTCGTTGAAACTTTCTCCAATTTTTGAACAGAATACAATCCAGTAAATTCACCTCTTGAAAAGTGCTACCCAATTGGAGAGGCTAAAGGGTACGTGTCATTGCGGATGTTAAAAGGAACAGAAACAAAGAGTGGATACGAGCATAGCTTCCGCTTACCGCAGTTTTCTATTAACTTCGGACACTGTGATGGGGAGTAGAAAGCTGTCTCCATTTGGCATCCTTTCTTAACTTTAGGGATCGTCGGGAAAGGGCAAGAACTCGATGCTGAAAAATGACTTTTTCTTCTTTTTGCACTACGTATCAGTTGTACCACGCGCAGTAGAACCTAATTACTCTTTTAAACAGGCTCGCGGAAGGTTTAATCTTCGAGAAAAACCGATTGTGTTAAACAAATTCAGGAGTGACAGAGCAAGTTCAACCCTAACACTTAGTTGCTTTTTGTGAAGGCGAATGGGTGTTTTGCGGGAGTGTCAGGAGCGTGTGAGCACCTCTCTGCTGTATGTCTTGAAAATGAAGCTCAGCTATTCCGCACTTCATTGATGGGATATCAACAGGAGTTGAATAAAGTTCCGATGTATTTTTGATTCTTCAGCAATCCAAAAATCAATGTAAGATTGAGGTAATTTCTAAATATGAGTCATCGACCCCTTGCGCTTAGTTGGGCCTCCCACATCAACTTTCGATGGACACCAGTAGCAACTGGCCGATCAAGATCGCTTAAGTGTCTTACTTTGTTTCGAACTCTCAGAGGAAGTTTTGCCGCTTGGGTCTTCCCCAGCTGTTTTATTTCGCGAAGTACTCACGGAGAATTAATTGCAACGATTAGTTTAATAAGCCATTTACTTGAAGATAAACTCACGAACGCAAGTTCCATTTACACAGTGGGTGTTATAATTGCACGCGCCACCTTCACCACAAGGAGACCAGGGTAGAGCTGAAAAGCATATTTCTGAAACATGCATTTGTGTTACCAGGAAATTTTCTATATGTGACGATTCAGTCAGAGTCTGCTGGGGGAGAACGTAAGTGAACTTGATCGCAGATACACATGAAAAACCAATTTCGTACTGAAATCTGATGTAGCCGTACAGGCCATCTCCGACAGCTAATAAATAGGCTTGGAACAAGTGGCCTTTATGACTAAATCTGCTGAATAGCTAGTATCTGTCTCTAAAAATGGTTCCCACCGTATTATGGGGAGAATAGATGCAAATAACAGTCAATATTAACGGAATATCGAAACTGACAAGTGCAGAATCCTTGTAAACAGCGGAGTCCTCGAGGGCACTTGCCATCCTTATCACATTCGAAAGGAAGAGGAGGGGCTGAAAAGGACACGCAATTGGGAGGTATTTCTATGTATAAAGAGGATGTCCACCACTTATCAATAACCACTGTAACAAGAGGAAGTGAACTGAACTGAAGGCAGGTGGCATGGATGTTCACTAAACATGAGAAGAGGGGCATAATGAAAGGTCGGATCTGATGCTGAAATCGGTACAGTGTCCCCATGTAGTACAGTCTGAAAGCTGGGATGAATTTGGGGCAACTTGCTTTATGGTGATGATCCCGGCACTGTTGGTCAGCTCTTATAAAGAGATGTACAGTACTGGTCCAGAAGAAATCACCTTGAACCTTTTTTTTGTCATAACTCCTCTCGAACTCGATTTTTTTGATTTTCTTTGGCAGCACCTTCTTTAAATACCTCCGCCCTTCCTGCGATGCACAATACGCGGGAGCTTACTTTCCGCCAAGGGACTTTTTTNTCCCCATCTGAAAGCTGGGATGAATTTGGGGCAACTTGCTTTATGGTGATGATCCCGGCACTGTTGGTCAGCTCTTATAAAGAGATGTACAGTACTGGTCCAGAAGAAATCACCTTGAACCTTTTTTTGTCATAACTCCTCTCGAACTCGATGTTTTTGATTTTCTTTGGCAGCACCTTCTTTAGATACCTCCGCCCTTCCTGCGATGCACAATACGCGGGAGCTTACTTTCCGCCAAGGGACTTTTTTTCAAAAAAGGGGGCGCGAGTGGATGACTCATCGGAAAATTCGATGCCTTAACGGACCCGGCCAGTTCCTTGACGTAAACATCATTGAGCCCTCGTGGCAGGAACTCAAGAAAAGAATAGTTGGTAAAACAGTCACAAATGCTGCCCAGAGAATTGCCCAGTTTGAAGAANAATGGAAGGAAATTGATAAGTGCCTGATCGACAAGTTGTTCGAATCAATGCCCTGCAGATGCCGAGCTGTTACCGATGCCAACGGCTTCGCTACAAAGTATTAGTTTAGTAGTTGTTTGGGTTTTAATCTCATGATGATAGCGTTTGAGTCAAATGAGTTATTTTGAATTTTTGATGCTGGTATTTTTTTGTCCTGTACAGAAAAATGTGGAAAATGGTCTTTTAACCGAAATAAAAAAAGTTTTGTTTGTTTTGTTCTATGGTGGGAACACTTAGAATTATTACTGTTGTCAACATACCGAAAGAAATCATTCAAAAACATCGAGTTTGAGATGAGTTATGAGAAAAAGGTTCAAGGTGATTTCTTTTTGACCAGTACTGTATTTCTCACTCAGCTTATTAACATTTTCAATCTTCATCAGAACAATTGGCGTGAACTCACGAATACATTGATTAGCCATACAAGTAGTTCCTTGAGGACAGTCTGCGTTATCATGACAGGATATGTTGTAGTAGACTGAAAAGTTGCGCTAGGTCTTTCGAAAGACAACTTTTTGAAGCATCCTAAAGGATAAACTTGGAATAGTGAAAGCTTATCAGTCATTTTTCGGTATTCTGCTCTTGAATAACACTCATTGCTATGAATAACAGTGGACTTTCGTTCGATACGAAGGAGAAAACCCGGAATACAATCTGAGATGTTTTAAGACGGTTGCTTCTCCTACGCACATTTCCGCTTGGTAGGTAGACAAGTTCATGGGATGGGTATCTGCGCAGTATATTGGCTTGTAACATAATTTCTGTCCGCTTTTTGT